ATAAATATTAGTCCTTTGTTTTAAGACTTTCAAAGGTTATCTCCTACAGACTCGAATGACTGTACTTTTGGGGGGGTAAACAAAGTTCAGCATTTTTCCAAAGATATAAGGCGTTTCCAATATGTTGGCGGCACGGTGATATGAATTATTAATTCACCCCTGCGTTTCTTTTCCTTTCGACTTTTAAACCAAAACATAAATAATTTAACGCTGCATGTCCACCTACGCCAGATTTAGAAGCGACACGATTATTATTGATAATACTTCAAGATGCGGATGTTTGAAGGTAGAAATTAGGGAGATAATTGAAACATAATCCATCATGAAAATTCATTAGGAATTAAATTTCTCAAAAGAATTCAGGATTTAGAGAGATACACAAAGGCAGACATTGACAGAGCAAGAGCATAATGATGTAGATAGAGAGTGACGAGAAATTAAAAGAGAGAGAAACAAAATAGAGAGAGAGAAAAAAAAAGACAAGACTATATTTGGATAGAAAGAGAGATTACCAAATATTTTCAAAGTGTTTTTTCAATGTTTTGCAGGAGTTATCACGTTCATTTATGTATACAGTTACAAAGTCACACCCCCGGAGAGTTACGATTCCTTTCAAACTCTTTGAAGAGCAATATTTTTGTTATCATCTTCTCGATAAAGTACGGGTCAATAAACGTAAATCGCAACTTTTATCTGACTATCAATGCTATTTCCGTTCCTTCTAGATACACACGAGTCGGTCATTGGCATCTTAGATGGGTTAGAAAGGGGTAGAAACATGGCCAAGCAAAACGGCCGCAACCCCTTAAAGAAAAAGAAGAACAAGAAAATGAACAAACAGCTCTTCTAGGCCTTTATACAAAAAAAAAAATACCACGTTGTGTAAAGTATAATTATATCACGTTTGAGGCTAATGATATATTGCCTAAGGCCTATCCTAGCAAATTTTTTAGCTTGTTTAGGAAAAATAAGGAACGACTGTGCCGAAGATAGGCACAGGGCCTAATCTCTAGCGAAGGTGAAGTCTCAATTTTGCGAGAGGAGCGAAAATGTAATTTTATATTACTTTTACAAAACGTTGAAGAACAAAATTCAAGTAACCTCTCGATCGCAACACAATTATAACGGGGGGGGGGGTGGACGCACTTCTTCATGAATTATAATTCAACGTAAGATTAACTTAATGAATGGGTGTATGCAGTACCATCCAGTCGATCGTTACGTTTAAATAAATGATTGCCACATCAAAAGAAAAACGACCATGTATAGCCAGGCCTACTTTAATAATACCAAGGCTTTTTACAGTATTATCAAGATCAATAATCAAGCACCAAAGGCTGACACAACGATATATGGGCTATTTTCATATTTTAATAAATAAATCAACATCAATTTTGATGTGATAAATGCACACTCTCATACTAGAGGTCCAGAGGTGCCCATATGAAGACACACATCCTAGGAGTGTAGGATAAGGTGCACAATGTCAAGGAAATGCTTGGGTAATTAATAAAGGGCCTTCGGGAAGAGCGGTATTAATACTGACGTGGCTACCCTGGGTAAATAAGACAATATTGTAGTGTCGTGGTTTAAGCACTTGACTTGCAATTCAAAGGTCGTGGTTCGATTCCCGATACGGCACCAATGTCCTTTGCCACACTCGACTCGGGTGATGTAAATGGGCACCTAGCTGGCAGGGATTAATTCCTCGAAATACTAGAGCGCTCTAATGGCAGCTAGGCTAAAGCCGGAGTTTTTAAATGCGCCTCGGAATAGAATTTCTAGATAGACGACGCTAAAGAAATGCCTATAATTATTATATTTTGATATTACACAGGAATATTGCTGACCGCATGGCGATGACCCATTTCAAGATCTCTGATTTTGGTTTTCAAGCACAATTACACCATCGGTTTCACAACGGTTTGGCACAGTAAACTTCGATCTAATTCTACGTGTGATAATTGCAAACACATTTAGGGGAGAAGTGTCCCGAGAAGGGTAGGTCTTTATTTCGTTCACTCTAGATTGCCTTGACCTTAATTTGACGCTTTTGGGGACAACAAAAAGGTGATCGTAATAATAACAAAAATATCCTTGAACATTTCATTTCGATCGCAACAGGGGCTTAGAATCCGGATAATAACGCAACAGATGACCAGTATATGATTGATGTATTGTCTGGAACGGACCTCGGAAAGGGGGCCAGAGAAGTTGTGAGTGGTCAGTTGTGATGGCCAGGGTTACAACTGACCATCAGAATATCGATAAAACAGACTAATTTGTAGGTCACGGTGGCATATTTAGCCGGGTACGCGATACAGTTTCTGCCTCAATTAAACGCGACCCTGGTATTTATGTGATACAGTTTCAATGAAAATCAGATTTTCCTGTTCTTGAATGAGGTAAGTATTCAAAGATGCACGATTAATGACAACTTGGGTGGGAGAAGCCCCTCTATAATTCCACTCAAATCGAAATCTATCCTTACGTAATGCGATACAGTTTTCCCTTTCGTTCATTGACAGGTCATTATCCTGCTCTACATAGCTATTTATGATAACTTTAAATAGGTCGAGTTCTGGTAGAGTGAAAAGTAATTTGTGATCTTTCTCGTTCATTTCATGTCACTTTGGAAGACAGTTATTATATAATGTTCTCTACAAGAATTGGTCTTCAAATATTTATGGTTTTCTTTGAAGGTGTCACTGTGCGACACCCAATTTTCCCAACCGTTTTCCATGAAAATAAGACAAAAGACAGGCTTTTAAAAATCTTTCAACACTTAAATGTCTGGGATGTTTGGGAGAATTAAGGAATCGATCAGATCAGTTTCCCCCAATTTTTATCATTAATAATTGTCTGTTTTCACTCAAACTTTCAGATTATTTTTAATTGTACATCTTGCATTGAAGTCACTACCTTTTCTCTCATCTGAACAATGTTACCAAGTCCCTTTAACATACAGTCAAACCTGTATGTTAAGGCCACCTCTGTTATTATAGTGGCTAAGGATTTAGTCTCCTTAAGATCGAGAGGGCCTAAAAGTGATGTTGATAACATCTACACCCAAACACGCTTTTGAATAACTTTAAACAAAATTATTTAAAAACATGAATAATAACAAACCGAACAAACTAAAACTAAAACAAAACAGCCAAACAACCCAAACAAATCTTCTATAAATGACGATGTCCAATTTCTTCGACAATGTCCACTTTCTTCAAAATAATCAACTTCCAGTCATCTTTAACATGTATCATCCCTCATCTCATGTTCTACATTCTCTGTCATTCTATACATGTCACACACTCTCTTAAATATATTCATGTTTGTGATCGATCAATATGACATTGTTGAAAGCCATTACAAAATATTATCTACAAAATCACCATCTCACAATGGCCTTGTATTCTGGAATAATTTACCTGAAAATATTTTTAAAAATCAATCCCTAAATATATTCAAATCCAAACTTAAGAAGTACCTTCTACACAATCTAATTCATGTACCTCAACTGAATTGTTATTAATATGTATTGATGTTTTGTTTTGTCTTCTTTTCCAATATAATTTATACAGTTATTAATACAAACATGGGGTTATGTTATAAGTTCATCACTTTTCATAATCCCTCAAATTGATATTAATTTGTTTATAGTCGATGTTATTCTGTATTTCTGCTTTTGTTCTTGTTGATTTTTGTTTTCCTAATTTTCATTAAGTCATCAATGTGTTGAATTATTACTATGTATATAGTGTTTATTGTTTTGTTATTTTTTATGGAAATGTGAAAAACAATCAATCAAATAAATTAAAAACATGTACATGTTTCAGTCCCCTTGAATATGTATCTAGCATGGTGAAACCCTCTACTAAATTTATAGAAACAGGGGAGGCAAGGGGGGGGGGGGTCAGGTTTACTCCTAACTCCACTAACTGAGAGGAGTACTGAATCATAACTTTGTAGAAATAATGTAACATAACATTTCATGAAGATAATACAAAACAATATATTTAAAAGAAAATAGTATTCCATAAAGTAATCAAGATACATAAAAGATGATAGAGATATTTAATTTGATAAATCGGCAACGGCAAGTATATATACATTTCTATAACAGGATATCATTACTATAATTTGATAGACAATACATAATTTGCTAAAGTATACCACAAATAGATTATTTACTATCAAATAATGGCAACTTCATTCAACACTAACTATCTCACTAGCAGACACCTAATAACCTTTGCAAATTTAGTGATCTTTTCTGAGATAAATCATCTGCAGGCTTTGTACTAATATTCTTCATTTTAATGGCATACATAAAAAGAACAAAGTAAAATAGTTACTATTCAAACAAAATAGAAAACAAAAATAAACTCTGTGAGATTATGAGTTTGCTTAAGAAACGTTTAAAAAAAGGCATATATATATATATATATATAGTTAGATTTAAATGCACATCACATCTACCATGATATCATTTTCACTTACAGAACATACATCTGGCTCATTTGCACCAGGTATGAACCAAGTTATGAACCAAATATCAAAAAATAATGGACGTATATAGACGTTATATCATCATGTGATATGCTTTATACATCTACAAGAATGGAATATTGTCATTATTTTTATCATACTGCCCCCCCCCCCACCACACTGAAATAAAACAATGAAAAATCCTTCCTTGGGATGTGATGGTTATAAAAGTGAGAAGGGGTGAGGGGAAGGAAGGGAAGGGGAGCGAGAGGGGATAGGAGGGGAGGGACAGGGGAGGGATATGGGAGGGGAGAGGAGGGAAAGGGAGTGAGAGGGGAGTGAGAGTGGATGGGAGGGTAGAGGGAAGGGAGGGTAGGGAAATGGGAGGAAGAGGGGAGGAGAGGGAGAGAGGAGGGGGAGAGGGAGAGAGAGATGTGGGGGGAGAGGGAGAGAGGGGGGATAGGGGAGGGGAGGGGAGGGGAGGGAGAGGGGAGGGAGAGGGGATAGGAGGGGATAGGAGGGGATGGAGAGGGATGGAGAGGGGAGGCCTGCACAAGGGGGGGGGGACTGGCTAGATGGACCCGAAGAGAAGGGTAAAAAACAGTCAAACCAAAAGGCACAACAAGAAAATGTTCAGTAGATGCTAGATGTCAATGTCCCATCATACCTACTTGTCATGAAGTTGAACAGTAGTTATACTTCATGGAAACAAGAAAAAATATTTCCTTGTTGTATTGAAACCTTGTCAAATCAAGGGTAAACCAAACCATGCAAAGAAGAGGGATTGGCAAATTACTTTGTTGTAATTAAAAAAACAAAAAAACAATGGTCTCTATAATAAGGTTCCACTGTATTTCTAATCTGGATTTTCTCCAATATCAAGGTAAGTGATTGGGAAATCTTTAAATATGACAACATGAAAGTACAGCCAAGCATGTCTAAAGTAGCCACCTCTCTATGAAGACCACCTGTCTATAGTGGTCATGTATGTTGGCTCCTTCAAGAAAAAAAATGCATGTTGTAGGACCTGCCCTCCAGTGGCCACTTTTTACTGTTTCCCTTGGGTGACCTCAATGGAGGGGTCTGACTACACACACATAAATTTGGTCTTCGAACAAACAAATAGATCTAACTTTTACTTTATTTCCATGACGATTTTGCTGCAGCCTGCTGATGCCAATAGATCCAGGTACTTGTGCGGAACTTCCTCCAATGATAGTGATTTGACGATAGGTGGTCTGAAAGAGTGAGAATATAATACACAGAAAATGAGACAACATAATAATAATAATATACAATGTGTGTATTTTTATCAATATTAAATGCAAAATGGTCCATAATCAATTTGTTTCTTTGATCACTCCACAATCACGCTTGATGTAAAAATCAAGATTTATAAACAGTTTTTCAAAGATGCATACAAAGAAGAGACTGTGCAATGTCCACAACTCAAAATAAATGCAACAACAGATGCAAAAAATAACATTTTGAGTAAATTCTACAAATAATAGAAGATGGAGTACTGCCTTCTATTTTAACATTTTCAAATAGTTCTTACATTGCTTCTTTTGAATTAAAAAGTTAGCTTGAATTCTGGTAAAGACAATGTTTTCTGAATGTTTTGCTCTATTTATATATCATTATCATAGTTCATTTTTTCTCATGAAATTTGTCATTTGGTATTATTATACAACAATATAACACAACATTGAATTCTTTAATTACGTATATGTTTGGTGCAAACGTCACGCATTTAAGACTATCCACCTGTTTTCCTGTTGGCTCCCTCCACAATTATATAAACAAATTTCTTATATCCTGTTTCAACTTGTTGTCTTGTCTTAAATCATCATTCCCGTATCATTTCTTTGATGAGGCTTTGATGTATTTTGATTGCTTTTTTTTGGGGGGGGGGGGGGGAGGTCACATTTTTTTGCCTCATAGGCTTTTAATTCACTTTTACACTTTTGTAATTTTATTGTTTTATTTTTGTGGAAAATAAAACAAAAAGAATTTATAAAGTCATTCTCAATTAGTGATTTAATATGAAGAAGGCGAAACATTACAGATTTAACAAGTGTCCTCTATTTGCAGCTTTTTCAAATGATATTTTCAGTAAATTTCAATTAATTCTGTGAGAACATTATCATGACTAGAACTTAGGAATATCTTTAAAGTTAAATACATGAAATAAAAGAACCATGTTTCAAAGAGTGGGTGTACTAACGGTATGTAAAGCTTTCCTACTTTCCACCTACTTTCAAAGGATTAATGTCTTAAGTGGTTTATAACGGTTTTTACTTTGGTATGGGCGTTGTTCGTGAGAGGTGAATACCCTGTCATTAATAGGAATCACAAAACAGGCCCGCCCACAGGTGTATCGAAGAAGAAGAAGAAGGAAAAGGAATCCTTATAAAATTTCAATGCCAAACAAATTTTCCCCATCGGTGGTTTTTTCTCGATTTGAACGCTTTAGTGTTTTGTTGGAAATCTGCTATGCTCACTTCTTCTATAAAAGCACTTGAAACACAGTTGTGTGAGGGAAAAGTGTTGACTTTAAAAAAAACTCATCTTCTTTATTCATTAAAAGTGATATCTTCTAAGGACTGATCACAAGCCTTTAAGGTATCATTAAACATTACATGGTACTTTTCAACCATATAACTTTTGTAACTTTAAAAGGTAATACTTAAAGGGTAATCCAACCTTTGTATTGTAATAAGTTCACTTTTTTAAAAGCAGAAAAAATAAAACAGATTGGCAAAAGTTTTAAAAAATAAGACCAATAATAAAGTGATTTATGATTGTTTGAAATATCAATTCTCAAATTTGCAGCTTGGTCTGTGGATTGTGACAACTCTCCTATTTGTTTCCATTTTTCTCCGAAGTGCCTTCTCCCTTGGGGCACTGCTCAAAATATTGTATGAATAGCATATATCATTATATCCTCTAAAGATAGATGGCCCTCCTGAACCATACATTTTGACATTTATATTTTTTTAAAAATTGTGTTTTTAAAGCCCCTCTGTTCTACTTGTAGCTACTTGCTCTCTCTATATAGAAAACTTCCCTAATCGGTGCCTGTTGGTCCCCCATGATCCTAGCCCCATGAGATAGCCACCAGTCAGTGACCTCGCTGTGTGGTCTAATCCCTTCTGGCCCAGTAGTATTGACAGTCTTTAAACATATGTTGTTTGTTACTACCTCACAGTAACATTCTAATAACCCATTCAGCCAATTTGAAGTGCTCATACTTAAAGGGATTACAACTTTCAAAAATTCATAACTTTCTTATTTTTTGTTCAGTTTCATTCAAACTTTCACTTTTCTGCTTCTCTGAATTTTCTGCTTTCTTTTAAAAGAGTTTCCTTTCAAGGTTTCATTTCCTCACTCAGACATCAGTACATTTACAACCAAAAAATGTAGCAGATAACAAGTAGGCAAATGCATTTATTGCACTTAATTTGAATTTACACTTGAAAATTCCCAATGTTTAAATATTCAAGATTCCAAACTATCACATACAAACTTATGACTACTTTTTACTAAATTTTACAGTAAGAGCAGATTTCAAACCAATTAGAATTTGCTACAAAGTTTCCAAATGCCATTCAAAACTATTAAAGATTAGTCATGGTTCATTTTTCATTCAATGGTATGCAAATAAAGAACATGCAAGACTTTTCTCAATTTCAGCAGGTTGAAAAATGCTATTATAAGTCAAAGAGCATCAGCATAATTTATAAGCACAACTTTTCATTGTGTTCACTTTGAATCTAATGTGCTCATATACTTTACATATCTATTATGTCACAGGCACTTTTTACTTAAAAGGAACCAAAACCTTCATACTAAGTTACTTTTATTGGAAAGTTTAAGATATTTGAATAAAATCAGTGAAAAGTTAAAGCTTTTTGAAATGACTAGTCACTAGAGAAGAGGGGATATTCAATTTGAAGACATCATTTGTGGACAACTCTCCATGCCTTTTGTACATCAAATTTCATGTTTTTCCTTCTTTCTTGTGATTGAGGTAATCTACTCCCCTGAAAGCAAGGTATAGAATGCAAAATGATATTCTACTTCACATGTTATGAAGTCGGATCAAGAACACAAATAAATACGAAGAAAATGAAAGAATTGTGAATTGTGAAGATGAAAAAAGGTGAAACTATTAGGTAAAATCTTGGAATGTTTATGCCACTGCCTATGTCACTGAAAAGGTTAAAACTCTTAAAAAAATGCATTTCAGAATAAATATCTCACATACCAGACATGGAGACAAGTAGGCTACACCACAATGTGACATAATCCAACAAGGTTAAAAAGCATAAAACATTATTAACAATTCAATGGAGAAGAAAATTCCACGTTTTCCCCGCCCAGCATATATGACGTGCTTCAACATTAATGAAGACACCGGTCTTGATTCAATCCCTCCCCCGGGGCTGCAGGGATTTAGGACAAGGTAACATGAAAGCCTACATTGAGACATCTTTTCATGCATGTCACACCTAACAAATTATATATTACAAGGTAGGTTCACACGAAACGATTGTAGTTTAAATCAACTACCAATGACAAGGGTTCATGTGGGACTGAAACAATGAGTATTCAATTTTTGGAGCGGACATTTTAACAACAAGCTTTGATGTTTGATGATTGTTTTACTTGACTGCTAAGAAAGAATGTATGTAACGCTTTTAAGGAAGTAACCATGGCACTAGTGCATTGACTTGGTTTTGAACCAGGGACCTCCCGGTTACGACACCACCGCTCTACCACTGAGTCATCATTGTGGGAGGAACCCCTGCTGCTTGTAACTATTTTATTAACCTTAAGATCTTTCATGGTCTAAAATTTCTATTAAGCTTAAAGTTTTACAACCACTAGCACGTTCGTCGTCATTAGGTGCCTATAGCTACAAGATATCTTTGAAGCTTAAAACCATATCCTATAAACTTAATAGGCTTTCATGTGAACCTAACAAGGGATGATGTAGCCCAGACACCAATGACATAGAACAATATAGCTTTTTTCCCCTATAACCTAGCTCTCAAAAGACAAAATCCTTCCTTGCTGACACCAATGTCAGACAGATAAATCCATTCTCTTTGAAAAGATGGTATTTTAGTAAAGACTGTTTGAAAGAGCTACGGCCTGTTCAGCTGTAAAAAAATGTATAAGAAACTTGTAAGAAGAAACATCTAGTAGGTACATCACCAGACTGGATTACGTGGTTTGCGGTTGGAGTTCTGTTGCGGCACTAATGTCCTTTGGCAAGACATTAATCTACATTTGCCATGCTCCACCCAGGTGAGGTGAATAGGTACCTGGCAGGAATTAATTTCTTGAGTGCCATAATGGCAGCCATGCTATTAAAACCAGGTTTATAATTGTTAAAGGCCAGGAGTGTCAAATCTGACAGACAGACATGAGCGCTATTTTTCATTGTGAAAATTTTTGCCTCTCTTTGATCATCCTTGCCCTCAGTACTGGATGATTTGAAAGGGTGACCTCCAAAAGAATAAGAATAGACATTTCTTGAGAACGATAATATTTTCCCACCAGAACAGTGAACAAGGATGATTTTTATTATATGTTCTTTTTAAAGGCTGTAAAAAGCCTACGCCCTGTTAAAAAAAACAATTATTGCTGTAGTCTGAATATATGAGAGAACACTAAAGGTTCAAACCAAAAACATCTCCCTCTTCCAAGAATTTCATGTTGTTTCATTCTTCCTTATTTGTTTTTCTTTTTTCCTTTCCTTATTTTTTCCTGTGGGGGAGATATTAAATTATTATCAACTTTCACGCTTCCACTGACTACATATTATCGGTACATCAACATTACTTCGATTTATTTGTCTTGACGTATGCTTCTATGTCTGAGAGGGAGAGAGAGAGAGAGAGAAAGAGAGAGAGAGAGAGAGAGAGAGAAAGAAAGATAGAGGGGTGAGATGGGGAGAGAGAGAGAGAGAGAGGAGGTGGGGGCGAGAGGGGGGGGGGGGGGGCAAGAGGGAGAAAAAGAGAGGGGGAGAGAAAGGCAGTATGAGACACAATAGAAAGGGAGGGATTGAGATTGAGAAAGAGAGAGGGGGAGAGAGGGGAGAGAGAGAAAGAGAGAGGGGGAGAGAGGGGGAGAGAGAGAGAGAGGGGGGGCGAGAGAGGGGGGAGGGAGAAAAAGAGAGGTGAGAAAAAGAGAGGGAGAGAGGGAAGAGGAAGAGAGGAAGAGAGGG